TGTATACATGTTATTAAACTTGGTATTATTTTCTCCTGCTAACCTGTCTTGTTGATTATTTGGCCAGCCAGAAAAACCTTAAGGGAAAGGGCAGAGGGAGATTCTCCCTCTTCCCCCGACAGGGGTCTCAAATCCATGACCCTGTCTCTCCAGGCTAACTCTTCCTAGGGCTGACAATAAGTGTCTAAATTTTTAGATCCCTCCCCACATTCCCAAAGTCAACTTCCCCTCCTGATTCACAGCATCTTTATCAATTCTTCATCCTCCATAGTGCACTTCAAACAGTTCCAGTAATTTAACTGTTTATCATTATGCCCCAGAGCCATGGATGGATCTCTTTAAAAGATTTTATTTGTATTTTACGTGAGAGGAAAGCAGAGAATAACTCCCTGGAACTACATTGCAGTAAATCCTTGTGTCTCTCCCCCCAGGATCTTTCTGGGCACAGACATCCTATGGGAAGTCGTTTGGGTGGAGTTTCCTCTTGAGAAACTTTCCTGGATGATCTGTCCCATTGGCACTCACCCTGCTTGAGTTTGTGACCTAGAGAAGATTTATTCCCTTCTTTAAGTCTCCATTTTTCATTATGGGTAAATATATTTAGTCAATAGAGCTTGGAAGACAATATAAAATAGTTCAAGGGGCTGGCCTGGTGGCATAGTAGTTAAGTTTATGCACTCTGCTTTGGTAGCACAGGGTTCACAGGTTTGGATCCCAGGCACGGACCTACACCCCACTCATCTGCCCAACGTGGGGCCTTCTGCTCACTGCAAGACATGCCAATAGTCAACAGGCAAGGTGGTGGGAGAAAAAGGACTTTTTTATTACAGCTTGCTAGCAAGAAGGAAGATGGCCGACTCATGTCTGAAAAAAAAAAACATCTTAAGGGGCACCAAGTCTTACAGCAGTTATATAGGCTGGTGGGTTATTGGGGAGGGGGTTAGGAATGTTGACCTTCTGGTGTTACAGACTGGGAGTCGCCACACCGGATCTTTCAGTTTTCATTGATGATGGCTATTAGCGTAGATTTCTCTGTTGGGGGGGTCATCACATTCCTAAGGAACTCGGAAGAACAAAGTTATCATCTTATCGCAGCTGGGAGGTACATGCACAAGCAGGGGTCGTAAAATCCACAGAGCAGTTAGATCTCCTGGAGGGTGCAGATCCAGCTGGGCTAGTTAGTCAGAGGTCATTCAAAGTTACAGTAGGGTTTCTTTTCTACAACGTGGCTTCCCTCATGTCAACCTTGTCTTGAGCCGGTATCAAAGCCATGCTGTGGCAGGTGTCCCAGATATAAAGTAGAGGGAGGTGGCCACAGATGTTAGCCCAGGGCCAATCTTCCTCAGCAAAAAGAGGAGGATTGGCAACAAATGTTAGGTCAGGGCTAATTGTCCACACACACACACAAAAAAAATGTTCAAAACAGGCAAAAAGAGGTGAATTTTAGAAAAAATATAATATCCCTGTATTATGTTCCATTTGTTAACAATACTTGTTTCACTCTTTCTTTCCCTGAACGTGTGTAGTAAGTTTCTGAGGTCTGTTCTTTACATTTGGGTGTTTTCAAATGAAATTCCAGGGCTTAGACATGCAGACGACAAGTGTTCAAGTGTGATTTCTTGCCATGGAAATAGCATCACCACAGGACCAGGAACAGAATTTGCCAGCCCAAAATATGAATCTTTGGTATAAGGGCTATTTTGAGCTGATTATTAAAAAACAGCAGACACAGGCAAAGCTCTGAAAACCTAGTAGAAGTTACCCTTTTGTAAGGGAAATTTATGTTTATAAGAGAAATGTCGATTTGTAAGGGTGCCAGGAGGGGGAGGATGACCTAAATCTAGAATGTCTTATCAATGGAGAAGGCAAGGAATTAAATCTGCATTACAACTTTACCCTTATTTACTGTGCTTTTCCTGGTGACCTCCCATAACTCACTCCATCTTAACAACAGGACATTAAAGCTATTTTTCAGGGGAGATGAGCCAGCCAGGAGCATGTGCAGAAGAGAAAGTTTTGATCTACCAATCAAAACTCATCCTGCCAGGGCCTCTGCATACCAGCTGGCCCTCCATGCTCTCTTTAACCTCACCCCTTAACTTTGTATCCTGGGAGACAGTTGAGAGCCTGTCCTTCTGTCTCCTTGCCAATCAGTTATACAATAAACTGTTTCTTCCTTCAAAGACTGGTGTGTCACGGTATCACCTTCTGTGCACATTGGGCGGTGAGCGCTTGCTGAGTAACAGTAATAATTAATTGACTTTTTTTCCTAAAAGGAATAGATATTTGGTGTTTTCTAGTTGAACTTATAAAAGTACTTTACAATTTTCTACAGAAAGGCTGGGTTTAAGTGATTTTGTTAGATTATTCAAACACTGGGCTTGTGTCATTTTAAAATGACAATCATGGGGGCCGGTCCCCTGGTGTAGCAGTTAAGTGTGCGCGCTCCGCTGCTGGCAGCCCGGTTCACGTCCGGGGCGTGCACAAACGCACCGCTTGTCAGGCTGTGCTGTGGTGGCATCCCATATACAGTGGAGGAAGATGGGCACAGATGTTAGCTCAGGGCCAGTCTTCCTCAGCAAAAAGAGGAGGATTGGCATGGATGTTAGCTCAGGGCTGACCTTGCTCACAGAAAAAAAAAAATAACAGTCATGTTCCAAAGCATCTCCAGTGGGGAGTAGAGGCCTGCAGTCAAAGACCCAAGCTAATGCCCCCTTGAGCCTGCAAAGGGAACGACTTAAAGGCCTAATTGGTTGTTTCTGGGGAGCAGCCCCCTGCAGGTGTCCTCCTGCTCACACCCACCGTGGAAGGAGCCTTTATACTGAGAGGAGCTGCAGAGCCCTGGAAAGCTGGGGGTGCACGTGCACTTGGGGGTCAGGGAGTCATGCCGTTTCTGAGGTTGTGGTCGTGCTTCCTTAGGCCTGGACATTTTAAACATTGAGTTTTGCATCCACACTGTAGGTACACTGAGTGTAATTTCTGCATGTTGAGAAACCCTGTGAAGATCAGATGTTCTGTCCTGTGGACAGAGGGTTTATGAACTTGGGTGTTCATTTGGGTCAGAACCTTAAACTGAATCAGGCTGAGAGTCTCCTCACTTGTGAGAATGGAAGCCTGGGGGAGGCAGTGCTTCCATGCTCACAGGAGAGGGGAGGGTGTGTGGAGCCCCCAGAGTTCATTCCTGTGGCTGCTCAGGTGTCTCTACCCTCCTTCACCAGGGACTGACCCACTCTAGGGGTTACATCTCAACCAGGAGTGTTTACACCATAAATTTGGGAATATAGTCAACTTTCTGAGTGTGGGTTTTCCTTCTGAACAATAGGCAAGAAGGCTGCTTCTACGAGCTGATTTGAGTATTTGTATTTCTGTCCTTGGATTTCTTTATCAGCAGCCCTTTGAATCAAGTTTCCATGAGCACGTGGGGTTTCATAATGTAAGTTGACTGAGAGATATCATGTGAGGAAGGCAGGAAAATTCTGGAACAAAATAGAATTTTTTGTTTCATTTAGCCAAGAGAACCTCAAGATGTGAGATGGGTGTACTTAAGTTCTCAAGTGCATTTTCCAACTTTAGGTGAGTTTTTGTGTGTCTGTGTCCCAAGAGAACCTTGACACATAAAAGGCTATACCTTTCCTAGGGCAAATAAATGTATTCCTGTCTTAATGATGTGAGGAAAAAGCACATGAATTTCTATTTTCACTGATATAAGGAAACAGGTCATAGCTTATGTAAATCTTTGGAATTCCTAGTTTATTGCAGGATATAATTGCAAACCCCTAATGTTTTGTAATTTGCTACTCTATCCTGAAAATATCCCCAGTGTGAAATAAAGTGGAGGGACAAACTGTAATGTCCCTTGTCGTTTTTGTTAGAGGAGGCTTTGTAATTTGTTTTATTGTCTGGGGTTTTATATCCATTATTGTTTAAATTTATTTATTTATTTTTTTCTCCCAAAGCCCCAGTAGACAGTTGTATGACATAGCTGCACATGCTTCTAGTTGCTGTATGTGGGACGCAGCCTCAGCACGGCCGGAGAAGCGGTGCGTCCGTGCGCGCCCAGGATCTGAACCTGGGCCGCCAGCAGCGGAGCGCGCGCACTTAACTGCTAAGCCACGGGGCCGGCCCTCCATTATTGTTTCAAGGATTAAATCTTAGAGTGATTTCCTATGTAAAAACATTAAAATTAAATTAATTTTAAACAGCAAAAGTTAATTAGAAATAATGATCAAGCATAAGAAAATATAAGGTATATTATACCTTATTTTAAATAAATCTTTATTTTATTTTATTATTATTATTATTTATTTTTTCCCCCCAAAGCCCCAGTAGATAGCTGTATGTCATAGTTGCACATCCTTCTAGTTGCTGTATGTGGGA